TGAACAATCAACAGAGGAATTAAGAAAACAGTCCCATTTACCATTGCAACAAAATAAGATACTTGGAAAACTATAGGACATTGAAGACAGAAATTGAAGAAGATATTAGGTAAACATTGCTCACTTCTTTGCACAACCACATCAAAATTACAACTAAAATATAAAAGAACCATAACTCAGAATCATCAGAAATCAAGTTGAATGGAAGTCTGAAAACTATGGAATTAAGGAAACCACATCCATCCAGACTGGTAGGAGGGTCAGAGAGGTGGAATGGGCTGGTCCCACATCCACATGCGTTGGATGAAAATTCAGAAGGAATATTTTGGGAGTGAGTAGTCTCACCCCCAAATCAGGCACCCTGGCCCAGGGTTCCAGTGCCAGGAAGATAAGTTCCCATAACTCCTGGCTACAAAAACCAGTGGAGATTCAGTTGGTGGAAGAAACTTCTGGAGCCCCAAACAGTTCCCCTTAAAGAACCCACACATGAATTTACTTAGACTCATTCCCACTGAGCTTCAGCACTGAGGTAGCAGCTTGAAAAGCATCAGTGGCATACAGGGAGGAACTGAAGTGTCTGGCTTCAAGGTGGGAGCTGGGGGACAGCTTTCTCCCAGACAGAAAGGTGGGCAGAGGCCATTATCCCCTTTCTGAAGTCTCCCCCTCCCCAGCAGAGCCATAGAGCTACAGAGCTGGCAGGCAGATGCCATATCTGAGGCCACATTGACATGGCTGACATTGTTTGCTCTGCACTGGAGATCCCTGAGACTTTGTCCTATCCAACTTATGGGCACACCAAAACTATTAACTGTGACATTTCGATATGAGTGGCAGTTGTTTATTCACCTTTGCAAATTCCAAAATCCTATCAAATAAGCAACAGCCAGCCTCAATGAGCCAGCAGGCCCCCATGCTTCTTGCTAAGTGGCCCCAGGCCTGGTGCTAGCAGCAGCCAACCTAGATTCACAGCTTAGCTTTGCCTGGTAATCTCAAAATCCAGCACAAGCAGCAGCCATCTCATGCAGGATGGCCCTGGGGAGGCCACAGGTGGGGACTGACCTTGGCCTGCACAACCCTGGAAAGCCCAGAGCCTGCACACCCAGTGGACAGCTACAGACCATGTCAGAGCACCACCACCATGGCCCTGCACAGCTGATTTTCCATGGAGGGTGGAGGTAGGTGGTCAGTAGTCACAGCTAGTCCTTGCAACTCACTGGCCTGGATAAATCCCTCCCATTGAGGGGATTAAAAACTACAAGTAGGTAGTTACAGAATAGCCATGGGGATATAAAGTACAGTATAGGAAATGGAGTAGCCAAAGAACTTATATTCATGACCCATGAACATGAACAATGGTGTGGGGATTGCCTGAGGGAGTAGGGCATGCTGGATAGAGACAGGAAAAGGCTGAAAATTGGGGCAATTGTAATAGCATAATCAATAAACATTATTAAAAATTAATATAAAGAAGCCAAAAAAAGAAATTGAGGAAGATACAAATAAGTGAAGCACATACCATGCTCATGGATTGGAAGGATTAATATTATTATAATGTCCGTACTACCCAAGACAATCTCTAGATTCAGTACAATTCCTATTAAAATACCAATGGCATATTTCACATATCTAGAACAAATATCTTAAAAGTTTATAGGGAACCAAAAAAGACCTCAAATAGCCTCAGCACTCTGAAAGAAGAACAAAGTTGAAGGTAGAACAATACATGATATGAAGCTATGCTACAAGTTAATTGTAATCAAAACAACCTGGTACTGGCATAGAAACAGGAATATAGATCAATGGCATGGAACGGAGAGCCCAAAAATTAACCCATGCATTTATGGTCAATTAATATTTGACAAAGGAGGCACAAGCATACAATCGAGTAAAGACAGTTTAATAAATGGGGTTGGGGAAATTGGACAGGTACATGCCAAAATAAAACTGGACTATCAACTTGCACCATACACCAGAATAAATCCAAAATGGATAAAAAACTTAAATGTAAGCCACAAGACCATAAAAATCCTAGAAGAAAACATGAGCAGTAAAATCTCAGACATTTCTTGTAGAAATATTTTTTGCTGATACATGTCTAGGGCAAAGGAAACAGGAAAAATAAACGAATGGCACTGTTCAAAATAAAAAACTTTTGCACAGCAAAAGAAACCATCAACAAAATGAAAAGCAAACCCACTGTTTGAGAGGACACATTTGCCAGTGATACTTCTGTAATGGCATTAATTTTTAGAGTACCTAAAGAACGTACACAAATGAACACCAGGAAGACAAACAATCCAATTTAAAAATGGGCAAAGGATCTGAATAGACACTTCTCCAAAAAGGACATACAGTTGGCTTATAGACATATGAAAAAATGCTCAATGTCAGTAATCATCAGAGAGATGCAAATTAAAACCACAACAAAATATTACCTCACTTGCCACAATGGCTATTATCAATAAATCAAATAGCAATAAGTGCTGACGAGGATGTGGGGAAAGGGACCTTAGTGCACTATTTGTGGGAATGCAGACTGGTGCAGCCACATGGAAAACAGTATAGAGCTTCTTCAAAAAATTAAAGATGGAACTGCTTTTTGACCTAGTGATACTACTTCTAAGAACGAGACATCAATTTGAAAAAACATCACTGCAACATTGTTCGTAGTAATTAACATGAATGACAGTGTCCATGGTATTCACATTACTCTGTGGTGGTGATATTCATATAACTCTGCAAGCTTGCTCATAGTTTTCAATAGCTCTTTGATGGTGGTCACGGTATTCAGATAACCTGTAGTGGTGTCATCACATCCACACACTTGTGATGGTTGTTATGGTGCATCCCCCTAAGTTTGCAACTGTGAAGTTAGTGATGATGGTATTCACATAGTGATGTAGTGATGTAGCTATGACACAATGCTACTTTGGTGATAGTAATTACTTCACTTTGTAATGTTGCTGGTGGTAGTATTCACATAACTCTAGGACACTGGTATGATATGCACATAACTGTGACAGTGTTGGGTATGGCCATCTCATAATTGCAAAGTGGGTTAATGTCTTCGTATCTCTTAGTGACAGTGGTAGTGTGATGTGGACCCTGGCTTGTGGGGTCCTTGACATTGTGGATGGGGGAGAGACATTCACACGGACTACGATGTTCTGTGGAGGAAAAGAGCGGGCAGCTTCGCTCTCAAGGAGAGCAAAAAGCTGTGGCCCTTGCCGTGTCAGGCCTTTATTGAGTTTCTTGGCACATTACATGATGGTCCTCATTTATTATGCTCAGGTTGGCTTTAGGTGATTATCTTTTACAGAAAACAAAGGAGCCAGATGCTGCTAATCATATCACAGAAGAAGGATATTTGCAAATGAAAAGGGATAAGTAGTTGAACTGGTTACATGCCATACTGGGAGTTTTAGCTTGGATTTTAGGAAGTTACAGTAAGCACTTGCTGTCTCAATTCAGGGTGAGGGAGTTTTAGCAAAAGCAAGACTCAAAGCAGCCTAAGCACATTGCAGGCCTGATTCCCTGCAAGAGAACCTACCCATGAGCGTGGGTCCTGTGCATCTCCAAGTGGGAGCTGGGCCCACGCCACACAGAACAGTCTCCTACAGTGGTGGTATTCACATAACCTCCTATAGTGGTGGTGGCATTCACACACCTCTGTAACAGGGCCTGTGGTATTCACATAACCTACACTATTGTTCATAGTTTTCATATAACTTGTGATAACACCATGCTATTTACATAATTCTGCCATGCTGATCATGGTATTCATGTAACTCTGCAATGGTGGGTGTGGTATTTATATAAGTCAGTAACTTTGGTGGTGGCAGTAGTCACATAGCCCAGTGACAGTGTGGTCCTGGAGTTCACCTGTCTGTGATGCTGGTGACTGTAATCACATGAGTGCAGTGTTGATGGTTATTTTAACTCTTATATTTCTGCCACATTGGTCATGGTATCCACATAGCTGTGATGATGGTGGTGGTATGTAAATAATTCTGATGTGATGGTAGCAGTTTCATGTCACTTTGCAATGGTTAAGGCAAAAACCTCATTTTATAGGTAGAGAGACTTAGGCTTAGACAAGTTTTGCTTAAAGTTACATAATGAGATATTACAGAACCAGGCACAAATTCAGGTTTTCTGAATAATTCAAGTGTAGCCTTTTCTGTATTACATCATAAAGTCTCTTCCTGCTAAGTCTAAATTTAAAGGCCTTAGTACAAAAATGTACCTTCAAACTCCCCATTGGCTTTGGAACATTAATGTTGTATCTTTACCATTCTAGTTGTTTATCTAGCACCTTAGCTGTGTCCATATATTCACACATACATACACACATTTTTATGTGAAAAATGAGAAAAAAATTAACTATAAATGCAGATGTGTAAATTGAACTTTTATTGAAAATTTATGTTAAATAATGCAGAAAAGGGCTGTCTGGTAAACCAAAATATAGCATCTTTGAAGATAATGTATAGTTTATTTATAGAATCCATAATGTACTGATTAAATAATGAAATTTAATATTGGCAAAAATGTTGATTTTGCAGTATATTCTTTCAATCTTTCTTTAAAAATTATAAAGCTCTAGAAGCCTTATAAAGTGCTAGAAATATGATGTTGTGATGTTGGTATCTGGGTGGTGATTACCGGGTAGAAATGTGTTTAAACAATCGTTGAATTATAAATTTAAGATTTCTGTATTTTGTGGCATATAAGTTATACCTCAACAAGGGTTTTAAAAATATATTTCTAAATAAAATGAAAATATGATGGGTTTCAGAAAGGTAGTGCCAATCCAAGCACTCAAGATATTTTCTTATGAGATATTGCTTTTACAGAAACAGGGAAAAACATCACCATGAATAGCAAGTTAAATGTGATTTAAGACATGTATGGCTTCCAGAAATGCCCTTGGTGTTGTAAGGGAGTTTCTCTTCATCTCAGCTGCCAGGGCTCATGATTTATATTTTTTCCCTTCACAGTACTTGGGGTGCATTGAAGTTCTACGCTCAATGAGGTCTCTTGACTTCAGTACAAGAACACAAATTACCAGGTAAGCCCTTGTTGAAAATGGAATTCTATTATTTTATTTAGGAAAGGAATGATTTTAGAAGTTAGCATCCTAGAAATTTCCACAGAAAAAGGCTGCCCCTTGAATGCTGGTGACTGGTAACAGGAAGTCAGGACCCACTGTGTTTCAAGATTTCTACATGTTTATGCACATTTGTGACATGTGTCTCTTGACGTAGCACCCTAAAGGACACTTCCCACTTCCAAGTGCTTTTTATAATTAAACTGCAGACAAATGGAGTGATTATATTTGTTTCTTTAATAAATGAAACTCTAATACCAGATTGATATTTTAAAATTTGTAAAATATGTTCTTTTTAAAAAGAAAATCAAGGTGTCAGGAATGATTTCCAACAGTATACACAGAAAATAAATTACTTAGAATAGAAAGTAAAACTATTAATAGGAGTAGTAATTTAAAGAGCAGAGCAGTTCTTTTAAGGGGTCAGTGACTTAGGGCAGGTTTATATATTCTCCATCATCAACTAGATTCTAAACTTCCTGAGTGTGAGTTATGTATTTAAGCCTTGTTTATATAAAATTCATAGCCTAATGCACTTTATACATTTAGAAAAATGCCAATTCAAGTGATCTTGAACAGAACTGTAAAGGTAGGAATGGATCTGTTACAAAGCTGTTTCTGTGGGTATAATCTTATGTTGCCTTGGCAGTTGTGAAATTATTCAATCTAAATTGTGACCCTAGAAAACTACCCAGAACAGAGCGCCCAGAAATACACCCAAGTCTCTATAGTCAGTGAATATTCAACAAAGGGGGCAGCAACATAAAATGGAGTAAAAATAGCCTCTTCAACAAATGGTCTTGGGAGAACTGGACAGCCACATGCAAAAAAATGAAACTCGAGCACCAACTTATACACCATACAGAAAAATAAATTCAAGGTGGATAAAAGATTTAAATATAAGCCATGACACCATTAAAGTCCTAGAAGAGACCATAGGCAGGAAAATCTCAGATATTTCATGCAGCAATATTTTTACTGATATGTCCCCTAGAACAAGGGACATAAAGGAAAGGATAAACAAATGGGATCTCATCGAAATAAAAAGCTTCTGCATGGCTAAGGAAAACAGTATTAAAATGAAAAGAGAACCAACTGTATGGGAAAACATATTTGCCAATGATACCTCCGACAAGGGTTTGATCTCTAAAATATATAAAGAACTCACAAGACTCCACCCCAAGAAGACAAACAACCCAATTAAAAAATGGGCAAAGGACTTGAACAGACACTTCTCCAAGGAGGACATACAGAGGATCCAGAGACACATGAAAGGATGCTCAAGATCGCTAGCTATCAGAGAGATGCAAATTAAAACCACAATGAGATACCACTTTACACAGGGCAGAATGGCCATCATAAACAAAGCAACAAACAACAAGTGTTGGAGAGGATGTGGAGAAAAGGGAACCCTAGTGCACTGTTGGTGGGATTGCAGACTGGTACAACCACTATGGAGAACAGTATGGAATTTCCTCGGAAAACTCAAAATGGATCTGCCTTTTGACCCGGCAATTCCACTGCTGGGATTCTATCCTAAGAACCCTGAAAAAACACCAATCCAAAAGAACCTTTGCACCCCAATGTTCATAGCAGCACAATTTATAATAGCCAAGTGCTGGAAGCAACCTAGGTGCCCAGCAGTAAATGAATGGATCAAAAAACTATGGTACATTTACACAATGGAATTCTATGCAGAAGAAAGAAAAAAGGAGCTCCTACCCTTTGCGACAGCATGGATGGAACTGGAAAGCATTATGCTGGGTGAAATAAGCCAGGCGGTGAAGGACAAATACCATATGGTCTCACCTTTAGCAGGAACCTAAACAACAAAACAAACAAACAAGCAAAATATGACCAAAGACACTGAAATAGAGAACAGGCTGACAGTGACCAGAGGGGGAGAGAAGAGGGAATTTCAGGGGAAATGGAGAAGGGTTTATAGGAACAAGTAGAAAGGACACGTGGACAAAAACTAGGGGTGGGGGGTGGACATGGGAGGGAGCTGGCGATGGCTGGGTGGGTGGGCTGAGATGGGAGTAAAAGGCAGAAAACTGTATTTGAACAACAATATAAAATTTAAAAAATGTTTAAAAAATACCTCATTCGTTTCACTTACTTTTATATATCTTTGGGTTAGCATGCCAAAGTACAAAGATTAAGCTTTAGAAAGCAATTATTTGTAGTAATTAGTTGCTAAATGATGGATGCACCTCAATTCTATGCTTTAAGCACCACAAGATACCTCATCTTCTTTCATGAAGAAATTAATGTTCAAAAGAATTGATGTTTGTGTTTTCCCTAAAGCCACTCAGGAGCCATGTACATGGTAGGAACGTACCAACATTCATAATCTACACTAAGGGAAGAGTTCATGTCCACATATTAGCAGAAAATAGTTTAATTGCCAAGGCCGAAGAATGGTATTTTGAAGTGAGAGCATTTAAAAGAAAAGTTTGAATGTTTACTTAGTCGATCATCCTGCCCGTGACAAGGCATGTGTAGTGCAATGTCTGTGGTCAGAACACTCTGTCTCATGCCTGGGGTGATACTGGAACGTATGTCATTGTTCACCTTCTCCTGTGTGGTGGCTATTGTTTTTAAAGAGAGTTGTTGACTATTTCTAATGAATTCCCTTTATACATACTGGAACTTCTGAGATATTCATGCTGGCTGTGAATGTGCAGTGTGCTGCCTTACTGTGCCTTTCAGGTTTGGGGGAGGAGAAGGATGCATACGCAAATGTCTGAGGGGCATATGAGTGGCACAGCCATGTCCTGCTTGTGAGAGGGTGGTGGGCAGGGGGTAAGTAAACAGTGCCAGTGCTCTTTTGGATGAAGGTCTTAGCAGTCTTTTGGGTAGAACCCAAATGGGTAGATGCGACAATAACATTGAAGAAAGCCATGGAACAGTCCTCCAGTTCCATTCTGTTTAGATTTTAGCAAAGGTGCAGTTATGTAATGGGCTGGGTAGAGCACCATTGTTGGATACGGGAAAGTTGGTGTGGAATTCTTGTTGTACCAGAATTGCCTTGAGTTTATTAGACTTTTTGAAAAGTATGTTTGCTTGTCTCCGCAATGCTATCTATCTCTTGCCTCATTTTTATTGCATGACATGTTTCTTATTTCAGTTGATAGATGAAGACCACTCATAGGCAACAATATGACAAATCAATGTCAGAAAGAAGTTTTTCATCCAGGAGAATACCCAGCAATGTTCTTTAGATGTAGCACATGGCAGAGCTTTCAAGGCCTCCGTGGTAACAGAGTGTTAGACATGTCTGAGATTAAACTCCACCACCGTGGTTTACTTTGTATACTAAAGACATTCTTGAAAACTTGTAGGGAAATATAACATTGTAATTAAGTTATATTTTACAGCCTCTAGGAAAACCTGTTCCCCAAATCACTTAACCATGCCTTTTATACAAAATATTTTCATAAACAAATAACCAATGTTTACTCACCTGTTCCACTATTTCAAATTTTGTATACAAGTGTCTTTTGAAGGTTCTCACAGCTGAACCAAGTGTCCTTTTGTTGGGTCCGTTTTATGTTGTTCCTGTGTCTGAGTTCAGATTAACTGTGGGACTTGCAATAGTACCACTCCTGGATTACTGATCTCTTACTAGCAGATAACTTTAAAAACTGCCCAGGAGCTGCCATTGTTGTATGCTTAGTTTTGGCCATGACTGTCAAATATCTTGCAAACTAACTCTTTGGACAAAGGAGCTTGGTAACTTGTTCACACTAATGGTGCCAGCTATATGGAGGAGTTGGCCTATATGTAGAGTCCAGCTCTGCCCATTTCTACCTCAATGGCTATTGTGAGAATCAGGACAGTTTGTACATCTAATGCACACAGGACAGGGCCTAGCAAAGGGGCAGCCTTGTTTAAGTGTTTGCTCCATCTCATTGCCTGAGCTTGTATTCAGTACAATGGGTGCAAGACTCCAGTGCTCAAAGAAGGGAGTGTTCATGAACATAAGAGCAATTGAGGGCCTTATAGATGATGGTCTCAGACACTGCTGCTTTTCTGGATCAGACTGTCAGTGGGGTACAGAGAGGAGTTGAGAGATGTGGTATTTGTGAAAGTCAGCCCACGGGACAGGAGATGCACTTCAGAAGAAGAAAAAGCTTCTGAAGAAGAAAACAGCTTCCCAATGTGTCCTTGTTTGCCAACCCCAGTATGGTTTTTACTCCCTAATATGTTCTTTATCCAGTAAAGTTTTGGAATGTGGCATAAAGTACCTCCCCATACCCTATAGATTCACAATTACATCATTGCACCATTGCAGGCTATCAGAAATTCCACTGCTGAGAACCATGAAATTTGGCTATTGTAGTGTTTCTCAAACTTGCTCTTTACCATCAGCACCACTTCATAGTCTGTGAAAACACCATTAGAAACCATTCTTCTGCATGGGTTTCACACCATGCTGTGCAACACCTAAGGAGTGGGAGGGATGGACTATAGTTGGTGTTGCTGTGGATGGGTGGTGTTGTCATGGGTGGGTGAGTGTTTTCTAGAGGGAAAGGAGGGGAGGGAGAAAGAGAGACAGAGAAACATTGATGTGTGGTCACCTCTCACACGCCCTCCATTGGGGACCTGGTCCACAATCCAGGTATGTGCCCTGACTTGGAATCGAACCAGTGACCCTTTGGTTCACAGGCTGGCACTCAATCCACTGAGCCATACTAGCCAGGGCATTAGTACATGGGGATTTCCAAAAGATGTTATGTGGCCAACAACTTTGGAAAACCACTGCTCCTGTGTCTGGCCTGACCATCAGACAATCACACTATGCACCTCCCTGAGATGTACTGTCATGTGACTACTCTCAACTCAAGTTGGGGGATGGGTCCAACATCCAGTAAGAGGATTCAGGGGAGACCATGCTATCTGAACTGACACCTGGAAAGCAGCCTGTTGGGCCACCCTGCACAGTGATAAAAAGACCC